CGCCCCCCCCCCCCCCGATCTCCCCCGGCCAGTCCCGCTGCCCCAGTCCAGCCCTGCTTCCAGCACCCAGTTCTCCCCTCCTCCTCGTGATCTCCCCCAGCCAGGCTCCTACCCCAACCCTGGCCCCCCCGGCCAGCCCTGCTTCCACCAGCCGGTTCCCCCCCATTTCCCCAGTCAGCCCCGCTGTCCCCGTCCAGCTGATCCTGGGCTTCTAGCGGCATGCAGTGTAGAATGGAGCCCAGGGTCAGCGGGGGACTGTGACTCCCCCGCTGACCCCAGGCTGCATGGCTTTGAAATGCACAAGAGCCCCCATTGGGGACTCTTGTGCATTTCAAAGTAGGCACCAGCATGCCGCCCGGAGTCAGCAGGACTTCCTGCTGGCCCTGGGCTATACACCGAGTTCTGCATTCCTCCTTTGAAATGTACAAGAGCCCAGCAGGAGCTCTTGTACATTTCAAAGGAGGAATGAGGAAGTGTCTATCAATTAGTCAATGGAAATTCCGTTGACTAGTCAATTAACCGAATTTTAACAACCTTAATTAAACTTCATCCTATTTACCTCAGACTATTTTTCTAGTTTGTGCATATCATTTTGAACTTTGACCTTATCCTCCAAAGCACTTGCAACTCCTTCCAGCTTGGTATCATCTGCAAACTTAATAATCATACTCTTTATGCCATCATCTAAATTGTTGATAAAAATATTGAACAGAACCGGTCCCAAAATAGACCCCTGCAGAACCCTACTTGTTATGCCCTTCCAGCAGGAAGTCAACGCACGACCTAATTTATTGCTTTTGAGGTACCTTAATATAACAGCATGTGAACAGATGGAGTCTTCTTACATAATCACTTTAATTTTGTTTGATACCATTACATTCACTTAACATGACTAGAGCAATGTACCACATATTGGATGTGTCTAGACTACATGGCTCCGTCGACGGAGCCATGTAGATGAGGCAGGACGACAAAGAGAAATGAAGTGGCGATTTAAATAATCGCCACTTCATTTAAATCACCGCGCTATGGCGATCAGCTGTTTGTCAGCACAGTGCGGCGGCCGTTTTGATTTAAATGAAGCGGTGATTATTTAAATTGCCGCTTCATTTCCCTTTTTCGAGTAAACTAATCTACATAGCTCCGTCGACAGAGCCATGTAGTTTAGACGTACCCATTGTGTATAGAGCTCCAATCTCTTCAGAAACAAATCTCATGGAATTGTATGAGCAACGTATAAAATATATAGTGCATTTACTGTATTCTTGTAATATTTTGCTTTTGCTCCCAGGCTTTACGAATCGATTTTTGAAGCCTAAAGGACCAAGAAATCCTCCACCAACTTGGAATATTTAATTCAGTTTCACAGATGCATATGGTTCCAAATACTGCAGATTTGCCATATCCCTCTGACATGCCGCACATGTTCTTCACAACATAATTACTGTCAGAACATTAGCAATAAAATTTTATCTTTGTTATATAAAGTCATAGAGCATAGCATACAAACTCCTCCATGTGGTTTTAGTATAACAAGGGATGTACAACTGCACATCAGCTGCTTGACCCTTCCAGTTAATGTAATTAAAAACATATTGGGGCAATTTTGTTTACTGTTTCTGAAAATAGAATAATTTTTTGGAGAATTACAATTTACTATATGACAACAGACCTGATTCTCCTATTATGGTAGTAAGTCCCAATTAAGTTAATCAAGTGGCACCACTACAAAATGATGGTCTGGATTCTCCCATCACTTAAGCACATGCATAACTTTACTCATAGTCTTATACAGCTAGTCATAATTAAAATAGTTATCTCCAAAGTGTGAATGCCTCAGAAGCAAATTGTATCCCTTTGTTCTGTACCTTTGCATTTGTCATAGGGTTGAGCTTGCCTTTTATCAGCTCAAAAGGTATGCTACATCCATAGGCAGTTTAGATGTAAATGGTTTCATACAAGGGAACTCCCAAGTACTGTGAATTGATTGCCATTTAAGATTATCTTATGTTTTGGGCAAACATGGAGGAGAGGGGAGCAAAAAAGACTGCAAGATCTTTTCGTGCTCTTCTTCTTTTGGGACAGCTGGGGCCTGCTCAACTCCCATGTAAAGTAGAGCAGCCTTGTAAGACAAAATTAAAAAGTATCTGGTATCAAATCAGGCAAATTACATTGAAAGCTAGCCTTTTAATTTTTAAAATATTGACAAGGTAATAACTAGAAGTCAGACATGAAATCTCAGTGAATGGAATAATGAACGTGAAATATTTTATGTGTATGAAAGATGCTATACAAAATAAAGTTTATTTATCTAGCATGCCAGTTTTTCTAGACTTTTTTATAAGTTCAAAGAGCACTTGAATATAATATATGCTTATCTTTAGAGTATCTTGACCCATTTTTCACAAATATCAAGTAAAAATAAAGTATAATTTCATGTTCACTGAAGTGTCAATAGCTAGATTCCCATTACTAGTATTAAAGTCAAACAGATAGGGAGTACCATCCACATAAAAGCAAAAATGTGAGTAACCAAATACATTAAGGGCTTATGGGAAAAGCGACGAGGAGTCCTGTGGCACCTTACAGACTAACAGATTTATTGGAGCATAAGCTTTCGTGGGCAAAGACCCACTTCGTCAGATGCATGTGGTGGAAATTCCAGGGTGCATGGATGCATGTGGTGGAAATTACCAAATAAGAATAAGAGTTCCTCAGGAAAAGGGCTTTTTTCCGGAGGATCGGGGCCAGTGTAGACGCTCTTTTCCGGCTTTTCTAAAAGCTGGAAAAAAGCGGCGGACATTTTTATTTAAATGCCGCGGGGGATATTTAAATCCCCCGCGGATTTCCCTATTACAACCTGTGAAATTAGCATGCCCCTTTCGGAAAAGGGGCCAGTGTAGACGTAGCCCATGAGCCTGACGCCTGTGGCATTTCAAAGCGGCAGTGCCGCATGGAGCCCCCAGCTGACCCTGGACTCCATGTGGCCCTGCCACTTTGAAACACAAGGAGGAGCCTGACACCAGGCTCTCCGCGACGTTTTGAAGCGGTCACTGCCGTATGCAGCCCGGGGTCAGCTGGGGAGTCCTCAGCTGATCCCGGGTTCCACACAATGCTGCCGCTTTGAAATGCTGCGTGCAGCCTGGGGACACCTCAGCTGGCTCTAGGCTGCATGCAGTATTTCAAAGTGGTAGTGCCGCGTGGAGCCTGGGGTCTAGCCTCAGGCTTCAAGCCCCCCTGCCACTTTGACCGACCTCCTTCTCTCCCCCCTCCTTTGCTGGCTCTTTCTGATAGAGACAGCAAGGATGGGGGATGTAAGGATGGACATGGTAGTCGACTAGTCACTTAGGGTATGTCTACACTACCACCCTAGTTCGAACTAGGGCGGTAATGTAGGCAACCGGAGTTGCAAATGAAGCCCGGGATTTGAATTTCCTGGGCTTCATTTGCATAAAGCCGGGCCCGTGCCGCGCGGCTACACGTGGCACAGACTAGGTAGTTCGGACTAGGCTTCCTAGTCCAAACTACCGTTACTCCTCGTGAAACGATGGCGTCGTGAAAAATGACGGCGCCCGGCTTTATGCAAATGAAGCCCAGGAAATTCAAATCCCGGGCTTCATTTGCAACTCCAGTTGCCTACATTACCACCCTAGTTCGAACTAGGGTGGTAGTGTAGACATACCCTAAGTGACTAGTCAACTACCATGTCAAGTAGTCCTTCACATCCCTAGTGGGTGGGGATAGACTATGAAGCATCTTGAAAGTGCATATAAGTAGCTTTTCTGTGATAAGGGTGGGAACTAGTGGAGGGCTGTAGAGTAGGGTGATGTGGCCAAAACATTTATTTTTCTCGTTTCAACTTGACTGACAGGGCAGGAGACAGACAGGGCAGGAGACTGATGTCTGTTCTCTTCTGACTTTGTTCTCAATCTCCATGCTCTTCATGGCTCTGCTCCAGGAAAGTTTGGTGCTGGGTCTCTCCCTTGGTCATACCTGCTGTTGCCATGTGCTCCCCCGAGCATGCTCCCCGGAAATTTAAAAGGGTGTGCAGGCCCCCCGCTGCTACCACTGGAAGCACAGTAGGGCTGCAGCAGCCTCCTGCCCACTTGCTCTGCGTGGCTGTTGGCATGTCCCTACAGCCTTGGGCAGGGGTGGTATCTCTGTGAGCTGCCCTTACCCCAAGTACCCTGCGGTCAATGGCAGCTATGGCATGGTGGCTACAGGCAGCAGCCCGTTGAGACCCCCTTGTCCCCACCACACCCCCTGCTTAATAGCTGCTGCCACAGGGGAGTGCCCCAGGTAAGTGCTGCACCCTCCACCCCTCCCAAACTCCCTTCTAGAGCCTGCATCCCTGTACCCCTTCCCACACCCAATCTCTCTCCCAGACTCTGCACCCCAATTCCCCGCCTCAGCGCAGAGCCTGTGCACAGCACCCAAACTTTGTCCCACAGCCCACACCCCAGATCCTCTCAGTCACGTGGGGGAAGTGTGGGGGCTCTGGGCACCACCAAACTTTCTCCAACCTACTGTCTCTGCGCAGCATGCAGAGCCCCTAGCCCGCCACCCGTGTGACACAGCAGGGAAGCCACATTAGACCCGCCAAACCCAGCCGGCTCGGGCCAGACACCGTTCAGCACGCGCGGGCTAGTCTGCATCGCGCTGCGCGGCGGGCCGCCCCTGGCCTGGGCGCAAGGACAATGCTGGTTCAGGGTAGCAGGGGAAAGGGCCCGCTGTCGCTGAGGCGGCGGGCTGCTCGCACGAGGTCCGGGAACCGCCAGGGGCTTCCACCGTCCGCACTTCCAGCCTGATCCCGAGCGAGGAGACTCTCGAGCCCCCTCTGGCGAGCACCTGACGGCGGCCGAGTCTGTCAGCCGAAAACGAAAGCGCTGCCGCGGCCTTTACAGCGGGGAGGGGCATGCCCGGGGAAGGAAGCGCTCCGTGAGGCGAGCGGTAGAGCCGCCCCGGGACAGCCAGGCTGGCTGTGATGCGGGGGGGCGGGCAGGCTCGGCCTGAGGAGGAGGTGGCCTAGGCCAGGCGGGGAGGGACTATGCGAGGAGGCCGCTGCTGACGGGGAGCGAATCCCATGGGGCCCGGACTGCGCCACAGCCGTGTGGGCGGGATACGCGCCTCACCTCTGTCTGGTGTGTGGGCCGTTATGACCGTTGGGGACCACGTGACTGTGCCGGCCTGCGTGATTCCCGGCACGCTTTTCTCCCCAGGACCTAGAGGGTAACCCTCACTAGAAACTCTTTTTCCCAGCAGGCTGTGCGCTGACGCATGCGCTTGGAGATTAGGGCGAGGGGCCCCGCTGTACCAGATGGAACTACATTTCCCATGAGGCTTCCCGCGGCGCCTGCGTGTTAGTGCCTGGCGCTCGGGCCATTTAAATGTGTGTGAGGGAGACTGTGAAATGGCTGCGCAGGTCGCTGCGGTTCGCGCCGTATCCCGGGGCCCAGAGGAGTCGCCCCCGCTGTCCTCGGGGGAGGG